TAAAAGAATGTATGTTGCGTTTTAACTTTTAAATACTATAAAAAATGATGGAAAGTCCATAACTTTTAAATATTTGTTAAATATCACTTATTAAAATATTTTGAATTAAAAGTAAAACAAACCATAGACTTTCCATCATTTTTTACAGTTTTTTGAACCCATTTATGAAAACAGTTTTTGAAAATATTATCGTTCAAAGCTGTATTTCTTGTGATAAAAAAGTCGCCGTCACTTGTCATTGAACTTGGCCTTAAGTGAACGTGCAATAACTCTCTATTGGCATCCAAAAATGCCAACCTTCATCTTGACTTAACATCATAGTCCATTTCTCGCGATACCACATTTTGGTGTAAGGTTTTAATTAATATTAAATTAAAGAGTTTTAAACCTAAATAAAAATATTCCTAATTCTAATATTTGGGAGGTGCAAGACTTTTGAAAGTGAGTGTAGATTGAAAACTTTATTTCAGGTCGTCTAAAATGTGTTGTAACTATTTTTACTACATATTTATGATATACTTTCTATCCATGTACATAGTTTTCCAGATAATTATTGGTACTCCTCAACTAAACTAATTTATGTTACTAGGCGACAAATTTTAGTATACAATCATGTCATATCCGATAAAAAGCTTATTTAGACTAGTCTATAAAAATAAGATTTGGAAAAATCATTGGAAAACAATTAATTACAAAAACTATCTAAAAAATTAAGTGAGAAAGTTAATTCATCTTTAAAGCAAGGAAGGACTTCTCCTCATCTACAAATGTGGAGAGCCGCTAAACCAGCATCAGTTTCCATTCTGGCATCACCAGCGTTGCCAGAATATATTTTTGTAATGTACCAGATTTATCTAAAAAATTTACCAGATTACATAAAAATGTACTAGATTGTATAAAACTACCAGATTTTTCTAATTGTGAAGTGTGGTCATTAAAGAGCAAAAAAAGTTTTATAGAGAACACGAACATAACAATTTTGAACAATATTTTTTCTCTCGACAAATTTCTGACACTATTTTATCTCTCGAGCAATTTTTGAAAAAGATTTTAATAACTTATGGTACTATTTTATCTTTTGAACAGTTTTTAAACCTTTTTTTATCTCTTGAGCTATTTTTAGACAATATTTTATTTATCGATAAATTCCTAACAGAATTCTACCTCTCGAGCAATTTTTAACAACTTTTTTATATCCTTCGAGCAATGTTTGTACAATATTTAATTTTTGAACAAGATTTTAACAATTTATAATACTATTTTATCTCTCGAACAATTTTTAAACCTTTTTTTATCTCTTGAGCTATTTTTAAACAATATTTTATCTATCGATAATATTCTATTATTCTATCTCTCGAGCACTTTTTAACAACTTTTTTATCTCTTTAGCAAACTGCACAATATTTAAACTTTCGACAAATTTATAACAATATTTTAACTCTCGATAAATTTTTAACAATGTTTTATGTCTTGAGCAATTTTTAACAACTCTTTTTCCTTCGAGCAATTTCTAATAGTATTTTATCGTTCGAGGAATTTTTAATCGAGAAATTTCAAACAGTCTCGAGTTAATTTTGAACAATATTTTAGTTCTCAACAGTATTTTTGAACACGATTTTAATAATTTATAATACTATTTATTCTCTCGAATAATTTAGAAATATTTTTTATCTCTCATTAAATTTCTAACAGTATTTTTATCCCTAGAGCAATTTTTGAATAATATTTTACCCCTCAAGCAATGTCTAATACTATTTTATCCTTCGACCTATTTTTAACACCATTTTTTACCTCTCAAGCTATTTGATCCCTCGTACAATTTTTGAACAATGTTTTATCTCTCGAGAAATGTCTATTTTTTCTCTGAAGCAATTTTTAACAACTATTTTAATTTCTCAGGAAATTCTTGAACAATATATTTTACACTTAAAATGGAAAAATACGCTGAAAAAGTACTAGATTTTCCTTCGAATGTACTAGAGTACCAGATTCTCAGAGAATGTACTAGATCTAGTACAATTGTACTAGACTGGCAACACTGGGCATCACCATCAGTTTTTACTATGTGATCGCTTCGGCTCGGTCTAGGACGTTTCGACGCGACCATTTCGACGCAGCCGCTTCGACGCGGCTGTTTCGACGCGAGGACATTTCAGCGCCGGCCGTTTCGCCGCCGGGCCGTTTCGACGGCAACTGTATTTTTTTTAGGTAGGTAATAATTCATACAATAGTACATTATATACCTAGGGTGAGAAGTGAGCTATTATTTACCGAGCACTTTTATATCCTGAGGCGCGTAGCGCCGAGGGATATAATGTGCGAGGTAAATAATAGCTTTCTCAGCCGAGGTATATATAGAATTTTTTTAACTACTAACATTAATGTATTAGCAATTTTAATTTTGACATAAGTAATTTCCTAACTATTTGTTAAATATTTCGAAATATCAAGCAGACTGGAGCGTGTTTCTAATCAGACTGGCTTTATTTATGTAAAAATTTGGCATGTGTCAAATTTTGGTATGATTCTAGGAAATATCCCATTGCATTTTTGATATTTTAATGACATGGATTTATTGTTATTAATTAATAATTTTTAAAGCCGGTGTTGAATTTCCTAGTTAATATATATTTTTACTGTTTACACTGATATATATTATCATATTTGATTTGATTAGATTTGATAAACCCAGCTTTAGTTATTTCCTACTTATTTTTCAAATATTTCAAAATATCAAGTAGTCTGGGAGTTTAGTTGTCAAATTAACAAAATGAAACTAATGAAATTTAGTTTCATTATTTACCTAGGTTTTTTTTATTATCATTATTTACCTAGGGAGAGAAATATTACTTCTCATTAGAGGAATGGAGTAAATAATGGTGATTTCTCATGTTAGTAGTAAAAAAAATAATATATTTGAAATGTCTTTTTTAATTTTATTATTAAGAATGCATAATATAATTATGTAATATTGCTTTTAAATATTCGTTATTATTTCTCTTATTATAATCGATTTTTAAAATCCTCTCGTCACAATTGCGATGTTTTTTTTTATTTAGCTGGTGTCTGATGGCCCAACAATAATTGTTCATAAAACAAGTCCCTTCCTGTTTGTATCTTTTTAAGTGCATCAATAAATTTCCATATCGTTAGATGATCTATGGACATTTCGTTTTGAAGTCGTCTGTGTGCAGCTTCGGCGTGGTTGTTCGTTCTGTCTGTACCCTCCAAAATACGGTTGTAGACAGACCACAATGTGATCGGAAAGGAAGGATTGAACCTTCTTCGATCCTGTCGTTGAAGACGTCTTACGTATGAGTCCTCGAACCATTCTATTAGAGGTTGCAACTCGTTAGAAAATTCTCGAAATAAATGGTCGATTGCAATATCCATGTCTTCTTCAGGAACAAATGCCAAAAATTTCACCATTCGTGCATGAAGACTGAAATCAGCATCGGTATTATATCGACCCAGCAAATTTATTTGCGCCAAATGTTTTTTCATATTTTTCTTCAAATTAAAAAACAACCTAGCAGCTCTGCATTTGGAAACTCTTCTTTGAAAGCGTTTATGGCACACAGTTCAAAATCCCATGAAATCTCCGGATTTGCAGCTGGCAGTAAATGTCCCATCATACCAATCATTTGAGCATATGTAGTTTGCCGTTTATTGGGCAGGAGAGCATAAAGAACAGAATGAACTCCCCCAAATTATTTAGCTATAATTATGTAGGTAAAAAATTAAAGCAGTTGGTTTAAATGTCCCAACAACAAACCAATGTTTTGATTCCTTTAAAATCTGTAAATACAGGATATTTCTAAATTCATGCGACACAAAATTTCCATAGACCACGCCTTTCCGAGATATCACCCTTAAAAGGTGGTGATTAAAATTGAGTTTTTTTTTTCTAAAATTTCAGTAAAGCTAGAAACTTGAAATTCTGTAATTTTCGTGCACTCGCAAAGGACTAACTACGGGTATTTTTTCATTATTCCTGTTACATTATAAGGGGGTGAAATTAACAACCCTTACTTTATTTTATATCAAAACTTTTTTCAAAATAAAGTTTTATGAAATAAAATTATAACTTGAAATCCTTGTTGTATTTAAAAAAAAAATTTATTCTTAAATTTTTTTCTCAAAAACAATAGCTTCAGAGAAAAAAAAAACACCATACTTTATAATTTTTTTAATAAATTGAGTGGAAAACAGTAAAGATGTAAAATTTAATACGATTCATAATATTGAAAAAATACCCTAGGTTAGTCCTTTGCGAGTGCACGAAAATTACAAAACTTCAAGTTTCTAGCTTTACTGAAATTTTAGAAAAAAATAAAAACTTAATTTTATTCACCACGTTTAAGGGTGATATCTCGGAAAGGGGTGGGCTGAGGAAATTTTGTTATAAGAAAGACCCATCTTAATTTCATACGAGCAATCACCTCCTGAATTTTGTCGCATGAATTTAGAAATACCCTGTATATATATTGTAATGGAAATGAATTATCAACATTTAAGATCAAACATTAGTTAACTGTTTAATCTAACTAGGATCAGGTACCTAAAATGGGATAATGAACTACATAATATAACATTATGTATGTAGGTAATTCATTAAAAATCTTTTTAGGTACCTAATTTTCAGAGATTAATTGTTTATGCCTTTTACAGATATGAAAACATAAGCCAGCTAATGGTTACATATTGTCTGCAGCTATATATCAATACTTACTGCGAATATTTAAGGAACATGATAAATTACCCAATTTTATACAAAGAATAGATCTGCAAAAAAATAAACATTTCAAATATTTTTTTTGAATAATTTATTACCTACTTAAAAAAATTTACATTTGGCGTCGAAACGGCCCGGCGTCGAATCGGCCGGCGTCGAAATGTCCTCGCGTCGAAACGGCCGCGTCGAAACGGTCGCGTCGAAACGGCTGCGTCAAAACGTCCTATTCCGATATAATACACACCTGATTTTTTTTTGTTTATAGATGAATCAAGCAACTCATTACCTAGATGGATCACAAATCTACGGCCCTTCTGCCGAAAAATCCTTACATTTACGTGATATAGAATCAGGAAAATTAAAAACGTCCATAATAGATAATAAACCATTCTTACCTTTACACACTGACGCAAAACAATTCTGTATGGTAAATTCAGACACCGACGTTTGCTTCAAATCGGGCGATAATCGCGTCAACTTCATACCGCAGCTCACGGTGATGCAAACTCTGTGGATGAGAGAGCATAACAGATTAGCCGAAGAACTGACTCAGTTGAATGAAGATTGGGATGCCGAAACAGTTTTCCAGGAAGCTAGAAGGATAGTCATTGCTGAAATGCAGCATATTACTTACAACGAATGGATAAAGTACTTACTAGGTGAGTTTAGATCTCTTACTAATAGTGTAATTATTTGTTTGCTTTAAAAATATTCTTGGTTTAACAGATGAATGAATCTATTCCATCCTGTACAGTGTTAAAACAGCTTTGACTCCATTTTATTGGAGCTTATATCTATCTGTTAGTTGTTTTAAATCAGTTTATGAGTTAGTTTATGTTATTATGACTTAATAAATGTTTATTAAGTCACATATATATCCTGATGCCCATCACTAGAGTCCCTTGTCCCACCAGATGATAAATATACTGTAGTGTAACCAACTGAAATAAAGAGAGACAACTTAACTAATATCTCTCTCTCTTTTATAAAAGTATGATAAATAAAGTGGCGGCGTGATCGACTATGAAGTGACTAGGACACCACGAGTGACAGACTGAAAGATTCATTATCTATTGGCTACTTACGTATTATTGAGAGAGTGGTAAAGGTTAAAAGAAAATATCTATTGATTTATATCTAATCTTTATTGAAAATATTATAGATGACAGAATCAGAAAGTAAAAATTTATAAGTATATAAAATATATTTATAAAGATTAAATATAGGTCTGGTTCGGTGCAATAACAAAAAATAATTAATTTATCAAATGAGGGGAAAGAACCAGCAAGAAAACCCCAAAGTTATAATAAATACAATAAAACCAATCAAACGTCAATTTGGATACAAATGACAAATTAAGTATACATATAAAAAAACACATTTAATTACTTGATGATTTATTTAAACACAGAAAAATATATGAAATAATATTCAATACATTATATAAAAAAAAACAATATGTAATACTGCAAGGCAAAAATAAAATAAATATTTTAAGAACAATAACTCATCAAATAACAAACATTGAGCATTACTAGGTTCAAACACACTCGATGCAAAACTGAAGAAGTGTTAATAGGGACAAGGTAATGGGGAAGCTATACAGCTTTACTACCCACCTATGAGTTGAATATTCTGGTGACAAAATAAGGTAAGTTACCGAGACACCTATTTCGATGTTGTCCCAGCCACGGGCGAAAATGTTAGTATCAATCAACAAGGCATTTTATACTTTTAACTAAGATCTGCCAATGCTGTGAATATCTGATGTTAGAAAAACACATAATTTACTAATATAATATTACTTTTCCCTTGCCGAACTTTAAAAATGACTAAAAAAATAATCTCAAGGTCAAATAAAAATTATAGCAAATTTTCCTTGGTATAACTACAAAATATCAATAAACTTCAAAAATATTTAAATTAAAATATTAATAGGATGCTATTTTTCACTGATTTAGATAGTAAAATAAGTCATAAAATCAAATAAACTCGTTATTGAAATGCAAGCAATTTTTTATGACAGATACAAAAAAAATGCCGGCAAGAAATAACATGAAATTACTTATAACAGTGAAATTCAAATCTAAATAGTGAACCATCAACTAGTTAAATAATATAAAAGTAATTGAAACATAATAATTGATTTAAAAAGGCACTTACATTTTTATCATAAATAAAACTAACAAAAACCTAAACCTTTTTAACAATCACGGACATTCCATCACTCTCCACGTTCAATCACCGACATTCAATAATTAATTCCCGTTCCTATGACGATGACTCTCCGCTTCTGTTCCAGCGCATGCACGACTTTGGTTCCTGGAATTTACCGCGGTCAAAAGCGATAGAATAGGTGGATGCTTTATATTGCCATTCAACGGGGACGGAATTAAATACGATCCCTTTCAATACTGACAATATATCTGTTTCAAGTTGATATATCCTTTAATAGTGCAGTCTACAAATCAACTCTTGGTCTATGACTGTTCCATTTGATATAGGTCCAGAATAGATTCTTAGTGGATCTTTCTCCAATTGCTTCTTTAACTTGTCTGCATTATATTCTACTTCGGCTCTAATTTGTTTTATATTTACTTATAATTCTAGAATAACAATAATTTATTTACATCTTGTATTTTTTAGATACATCAAATTTAAATAAGATAGTAAAATATGATGATTTTAATAAACATATTGATCCAACCGTTTCCAACGAATTTGCTACTTCTGGTATAAGAGTTTTGTATGCTATGATTCCGAATATTATAAGGTAAGAACACTTGAAATATTGATGGGATTTAAAATCCAAAATAAACATTGTTTTTTTTGTATTGGAAGTCACTCAAAATTTAGTAGACTAAGGGACGATCTTTTCACCTTTGAGTAAAGTTACAACATGTAGGTATACTTGACAGATTAACGAACAAGATCCCTATAGTTTAATCAGCAAGTAGTTACTTTCTACTTTAATCAAAAGTGAAAAGACTGATTATATAAAAAAAAAATTTTTTCAGTTTGATGGATGAAAATAATATGGAAAATTCAACCTTACGTTTATTGAATCATTTCAACAATCCAGGCATTATAGTGACACACTTTGATTCACTTTTGAGAGGACTTGCAAATCAGAGGGCACAAAAAATTGGAGTACACTATTCAATGGATGTAAGATTGCTCAATGGATTTTCAAAAATGTTTTATTCACATTATTTAATTAAATTTAAATGTTTCTATATAGTATACCCTAGAATTATTTTACCGTTAGATAGGTACTACCAAATAAATAATCTCATTTGCTATTTTTTAGTTAACTAATAATTTATTCGCTGATGCTAAATTTGGATACGATTTATTAAGTTTTGACATCCAGAGAGGTAGAGATCATGGTTTACCGGGTTATAATTTCTATAGACAACTATGTGGTTTGCCGAAAGTCCTAGAGTTTAAAGATTTGAAGGATGTAATGTCAAAGTCGGTAAGTCCATACGGCATTTATTAGAACATTTCTGTAAATGCTATTAGACTATAGTTTAAATAATACTTCATCTTTTTTATATATAATTTTATTTCAGTTTTAATCAACATACATATATCCATTTTTCTTACAACAAACGACAACCAACAACGAACGACACCTCTTTGGTTTTGTATTATTAAAAGAAACATAACATTACTTACAAACAAAATTTATTGCATTTTATTTTAAAGATTTAACCAACAACTTTCAAACCCAATAGATCCCTAAGATTTTGCAACTTTGTTTTCCCAAGAGATTTAGTTAAGATGTCAGCTATTTGTTCTTCAGTAGATACTTTTACATTTATATTAAACTCTTTTTTGTAATCATAAACGAAGTGATAGCTAACATCTATATGTAGGAAATTTTTAAAAAAATTGCCATATTGTAACAAGAATCCTTACTGGACATGGCCGACTCAAAGAACATTTTCTTTAATCGTTTGCTTACTTTGTTTTGTCGATTTCCAACGAACGTTATACATAATAAAGTTGTATTTCTATTTTTTAGGCAAGGCTATCCTTATCTTTAGTTTACAAACATGTGGACGACATAGACCTAATAATTGGTGGACTGCTCGAAAAACCAGTGGACTCCTTATTGGGACCAACGATGTCCTGTATAATTGCAGACCAGTTTATGCGAACTAAACAAGGAGATCGTTTCTTTTACACCAATACTAATCAGCCCAAACCGTTTTCGGAGTTGCAATTGAATGAAATCCGTAAAGTGACGCTAGCTAGAATTTTTTGTGATAATTCCGATATAGGGAACATACAACGAGAAGTTTTTAAAAATATAGATGACAGGTAAGTAAATTTATCGGATAAAAAAACCACATATTGATAATGTTTTTCTTAAATTACACATATAGTTGAATTCGTCAATTACAGGCAGTTAAAAAATCAAGTTCTACGGGTATAACAGCCAAGTACAGAATAGGAATACACGGATAAACATCGTACAGAATTTAATTATTAACAGACAGAAACAGGATATGAATGTGTAAAGGGATGTTGATATTTTAAAAATTTTGAGGTAAAACCGTGACGCGTTGTAATTTTTTTATGGGATGGTTTGCCCGTGGCCATACATAGGCAATAGACCTTTCCCGTTATTGCTATCTCTATTACTCATGCGCAAATTTTATTTTCGTTTAAAATCATAATGGTATATTAAAGTATAAGTGGATATAACGGTCTTTAAAACACGCGCGATTTTTCGAGCACGACGGCGCAGCCGAAGTGCTCGAAATAGAGCAAGTGTTTTAAAGACCAGTTATCCACGCATACTTTACGCAATTTTTTTTTTATTGGTATACTTTGAAATCCTAAATATTGGTATTAGTTCTACAAAAAAATGAAAATAAGAACTAATAACTGAAAATGGTTGAATTTGTGATGTAACATTAGTATACCTCGTTGTCATGAAAATGAGACAAACAAAAATTTATTTTCAATCTGTCACGTAAGATTAATTGTCGCAACAGTTGTTATTGTTTAAAATGAGTTCACATATTGAGTATTTAAATAATAAAGCAGAATCGCGCTTAATACCACAAAAATCCGAAGCGGTTTATAAAAAAGAATACGATAAATTCAACACGTGGATGGAAGAGCAAATGGTTACACATAGATGAACGAGTTGTTCTCACTTATCTCCAGAAAATGTCGGAACAGTATAAAGTATCGACTATGTGGACTATCCATTCAAAATTACATGCATGCATTCATGAAGGCAATTAGCAAAAATGAGATAGTCAAGAAGGCATATGTATTCGAGGAAGACGATTTGCGGAAGTTTTTTACAGATACACTGGACATTACGTATTTATTTTTGAAGGTGGTTGCTATTTGTGGCATCTTTGGCTCTTGTAGAAGATGTGAATTGTGCGATTATATTATTGTTATGTTTTCTACCTTGAGTTCCATTTATAAATCAGCAAATGTCATTTTGTTTCTGAATGTAATATTATTGGTAGGGTAGCTAGTAACACTTTTAGGTGTGTTATTTACGAATGGCAAAATTACAAATATTTCGTTTATTTTAACCTTGTAGAACAAGGAAATAGTTTCTTGCATAGCTACGATGGAGCCCTTGATGATGACGTTTTAAGAAGCCTATGTAGAAAATGCTGTCATAGAAACGCAAAATTGAAATTTTTTGATTATTATTTATATTAAACGTTAGTAGAAAAAAGTTTGCTGCCACCTTCTTGAAATTAGACTCACAGTACCTTCTTTCTTGCTCATACGGCATTTCATTGTCAGTTCAGTTGCAGCAGCAATGTATTTCCATCGAAGCATGAATAAAAGTCATACTGACAGCCGTAGTAATCACATCGTTTGTTAGTAATTTTCGTAATTTTTTGCTTGATTGCCAAAAGCTTTAGTGAACTCTTGTTCAATTAGCTTTATTCATCCATCCCTCCCGAGTTTGTTGCCGTTGATAGTTTCCCAGTTCCCACCGAAAGTAACCAAACACAACCTAAGGAGCCAGAAAGCGCCAGCAAAAATGGCGGTTGACAAACCACCCGGGCAGCCGGCTGCAGAAATTCTGCTTTGAAGATTTTTTTCCTAGGGTTATGTTATTGCCACTTACATAGTTCTTTGACCCATCTAGATTTAAGGCTTTTGAAAACGGTGACATCGAGCGGTTGAAGTAGATATGTGATATGAGGTGAAAATTTCATAATGGTCACTTCATTTTCTAGGGCTAATTTAATTAATTTTGTTGACACGTGTGTAACGTGGCCATCGTTAATTAAAAGCACCGGACTTTCGGGCCCAATGTGATTTTAAAAAACATTTATAAACAAATTATGAAAAAGGGTGGTTTTCATCCCACCCCTTTCGTTAGCAGATATTGCCGTTTGTGATACATCGTGATTAAACCAATTCTCCATCACATATTTACCTTTAAATACACATAAGATTGGCAACTTGTTTCTATGGGCAGAACAACACAACAATACCGTGGTATTTTCTCTAACTAAAGAACTTGTTTTACGTTGACTTTTTACCCTAATTGCTCCAAGGATCTTTATCTTAGAGGAATCGTGGCAAAACGATGTTTCATCAAAATCAAATATTTTTGGGGCTTTTCCATTTAATTTTAGCTCATTCACATGTTCTATTAGTTGTTTAAATTATAATAGATTTACGCATCAGTCTTTAGATAACAAACCTGATCACATATAACATGTTCTTTACTTTGAGATTTCTTAATTAACTGTGCATGACGACGTCTAAAAGACGTAAACTGTTCTTAAATCTTGTTAATATATTGTTTTGTTTAATGTACAGCCTATTATGTGGTACAGCTCAACCATATCAATAACTTCCTCGCGACAGAGCCCAAACTCTTTTTTAAACTATTTGCTATCTATTCTTCTTCTTTTTTGAAAGATATAGGAAAAACTCCTCCTCCACCTTTCCCACCTGCAGAAGTATTACCTTTACCCCGAGTCCCTAATACGTAATGTTTTAATGTGGATCGAGGTATATTATGCAAGGAAGCTGCTACACGAATCGTTTTGTTGCCATTCTTAACATCAGATAATGCTTTTTCTAGGTCTTCTCTGGTGTATGTAAAACCCGCACCCTTCTGTGTATTTCTAACATAGTTAGGCACCATTGTCTGCAAAACATCAAATTTAGAACATCCAAGAGGGGTATCTGGATCCTAGTGGTCTAAATACCCCAGCGTATGGCCCATATACACCCTGTTTTATCCTAGTGAATAATTAAGTATATCGGTACGTAATTTCTTGAAATAAAGTGTAAATATTACCCCAAAAATAAAAAAATATTTTTATTACTATTTGTAGGTAGATCTGCTTAAAAATAATACTTGCTATAGCACAATGTTCTAAGATTTTTAAGAGCAAAACTTGTTCACACCATGAAATTCCAATATGGACTTTTAGGTTTTACATGTTGTGGCATGTTATTAGTATCAGAGGTAAGGGACATAAAGATAGGAAACGCTCACAAGAAGCCCATGTTTAACAACGACCAGCTCAAACGCAGTTAACATCCGACCCACTATGTGTCAATTTTATGGATCAAACAAAGCAGCGGGAAATTTAAAAATCTGATAATAAAGGTTGTACATATAAATATCGATTGCACTCTCATGTTCTGCTAAATAAATTTAAAGAATGTTAATTACACTAAATTATTTATTAAAAAGAATACTACACTTACAGTGTATTATAGATTATTGTAAATCTATTCATGACAAATATTTTTCAATTTTTAATCGTTTTTTGTAACTTCATTTTTGTTCTTATTTTCCAAACGAATGGCCAACGGTGTCTCATTGATAAAAATGTTGAATGTAAACGCAATAATGGGAATTCAGAAATTCTTCTTCTTATATCACATCTTTTCTCCAACGTTTTCAAGCTATTCTCTTGCTCTAAAACAATAAATAATAATAAATAGTTTGTGAAAAAAGTTGGCTACTGTTTGTGATACTTACTTGGCTAGATCTTTCTTTGATAAATTAAAGAACGCCACATTGGGGATTTTAAATTTATTTATGTGGCATGTATTACTAATGAGATACATGCTTCGACTTATTGTTATATTACAAAATATAATTATTGTCCTCAAATTTCACACAAAAACAACTACAACTATTTCGCTTAGTTCATCTAGAGCATAACACAACCATGAACTCAAAATTTAAAATTAAATTTCAGGATTTTAGGACACACATATACAACTAATTAACATATATATTTAAAAACTGCCCACTGCTGTCTGTCTACAAACGACGTGTACCTTTAGTTAACATTTGAGACGTATAGATGACGCCACCGTTGTTGCGGTCATTGCGTTTCCTATCTCCCTGATCTGTGATTAGTAGCCTACTTAACCACAGCCAACTGTGTAATATAAAATAATTTCAAATATGTGGCGGGAAATATTAGGCATTCCAACGACCTGTCAAACAATACCTGGCAGTGGGAAGGTCTCGTATATCTAAGGGGGTAGCGACATAGTCTTGCATCTTGGACGCTATTTTTATTCGAAATATCAGTCGCCAATCCTGCCAGTTTTTAAAAAAATGTACAAGCAGTTTTTTTATTTAATATTTTTATAGTGTTCGATATAAAATATTTAAATGTAATCCATTATTCATGATTTTACGTATTGTAGATAGAATACATCGTATGTCGCAACCGTCAGATCTACCAAACCTGCCCACTGGAAATTCATTTGTTTGGAATGCCTGATTCCATTTTTTAGTTACCCAGAAACCCCGACAGACCTTAAAAGATGTCAGTCACTTTGTTCATTCGAGTAGATAGTTCCTTTAAAATATTAAATTTATTGTTTCAGCAATTCTCCAGTAAGCTGTACAGACGACTCTATTCCAAAATTAAACTTGATGGCTTGGAATTATGGATCAGAAATGTATCTTTTATAATCAATATTCCTAATGTTATGGACACTTAACCAAAGACTGAATTAAGACTAGTTTATAATAAGTAGTGTTCTTTAGCAATTAACAATAATTAAATTATAAGCAATTTTTTACAATTTTGTCGATTGTTAATGTAATTACAACTGACGTCTAAAAACATCACTCACAGCTGACAAAAACATCACTAACAACTGACAAGACATTGACTACTGACGTTTCAAAAAAGCCCAATCGAAAATTGACCATTGAGAAATGACATTTGCCAATTAAAAACTCAATATTGTGGAAAACGAATTGGACCACAGTTTTAAAGTCTTAAAAAAATTATATAAGTGGTTTTTGTATAGTAATTTTTTAATTTTAACTTTTTTCTTGCCTCTCTTAGTTGTATCAGTACTTTTAAAATATAAATTAACAAATTACTTGGATATGGTTAATGTAAATTGTCTTTTGTAATTTTTTATAATTCCTGATGATTACTTTTAAAATTATTTATTTTTATCATCTCTTTACCATTTCACCGTGCTCTAGGTACAATTAATATGTAAAATTATAAATAAAACTATTTTTCTATAATGTTGCTTTTATTTCACAAACTAATAGTACATTTAAAAAAAGAAAAAGTTCTGCTGTTCTGTCACAATCAATGATTGGCATAAATGTGTCCAGTGGTAAAATGAATTTCACCATCAGCTTTAAAATGTTCAAAAACTACGATAGAGTTGTCCCCTTCCTTCAGTAATGGAGCTGGTAAGTACAAAGTCTGAATTGGACCCATCCTAGCGTATCTTCCCAATACGAAGCCATTAACGATTACAATACCTTTTGTCCAATTTTGCATATTAACAAACGTGTCTTTGGGATTCCCTTTTATGTTTAAAATACCTTGGTACAATACAGGACCAGCGGTATTTTTTATATAAGTTGTTTGGAAATTTAGACTGTTTGTCCAAGATTTTTTAAACTCCAAAGGATAAATTTGCCAGTCATAGATGTACTGGTCATTTACTAACACTCCCCCTTGCCACAATCCTTTTAACTGCTTGTATACTCTAACGTTAACTCTTCCCCAATTTTCCACAATTAGATCTAAAGTAGCACCTTGCAGTGTATTATTTGTAAGAACTAAAGTACCATTTGCTACCCTGGAAGTACCGAATGAATTCAAATCAACTGATCTGGATATCCAAGGTGAAACTAGTTGACCATTTACGAGTACCATCACAGTATCGCAAACTCTGCCTTCTATTTTTAATACAGCACCGGCAGGGATATCCAATACTTTTCTGTACACAGTATAACCAAAACTTTGTCCATTGTTGTTGTTAATATCGAGCTTTTCCATGGCGATTACGTTTTTAGAGTACACATTTGGAATGCTCGCTAACGTATCTTCAATTCGTAGTTGTTTTTGAATGGTTACTGCTAGATAGGCTATTTTTTCAGGAGAAGGTGGCATGGCAGGTAGAAGTGTTTTTATCGGATTGTACTTTTCTAGAAGGTCTTTTGTAGCGTAATATTTGTCAGTATAAGCACCTGATTCGTCTAATGGAGCTCCGTAATCGTAACTTGATATTATGGAACGGTAATCTATAAAAAAAGTTAATTTATAGGTACATACACCTAGGCTATAATTCGAAAAAAGAAAATACATATGGGTGATTCTCGCCTAACTGTGATTTTTACAACTTACATTTTTCTAAAATTAAAAATGTTTCAAAACGTATGTTTTACGCGTTTTTGTTTTCCATTTATGCATAGAAATAAGCCTGTAGAGTGGTTCTACTACAGCTACGACACAACGAAAACTGTGACAAAATTTAAAAATTTTAATGCCACGGTACTGACATTATTTCCACGGTACTGACATATAAATGATTATTTTTTTTTACCAATCAAAAGATTGGTATAAAATTGCAATAAAATTCAGTGCAGTATGCATTAGATTGTAGTTATAAGAGGTAAATTTTATATTAAAAAATAAATTTTGATAGAAATTTATATATTTAATTTTAAAAATGAGAATCGGACATGCCACGGTACTGACATTTCGAGTATATTTATATGCAGCTTAAAAAAAATTACGAAGGTTTATGATCTAATTCATAATGTCGGTTGTAAAATACCTCTAAATTTATAATATTATTAACTTTTTGATGAGGAAAACTTATGCTAAACGATAAATAAAACACTGGACATAAAAAATCACAGTTAGGCGAGAATCACCCACATAAGCTTTGTTCGCGGTAAGAATCCTGAACCGAATCATTACTAATTGTAACGATTTCGCAGGCGCAGTAGTTAAAAAGCGTTCGCGAAACAAAAAGAACTGAACTAATGGTTCTATTCTGCGTTCGCGGTAAAATTATTATTGATTTTGAACCGCTTGTCTATACCTGAAACACTGAGATATAATAGGGATTGCGCGCGTGGTAAAAATTCAGAATTGATAATGATTCGGGCATGCGCTCAAAGTATGAATTAGTAATTCCGAATCAGTTCAGGATTGTTACCGCGAACGAAGCTATTGAAAAACATCTATAGATAAAATACAGAATATCATTAAAACAGATGTAGATATGAAAGCAGATAAAATTTGAAATATAAATCTAATTCGAGAGACGCTTAAATGGTGGTTCCAACCTTATCGAGACTGAGGCCCACAAAGGTAAACTCGTAGCGTAACAAAAACGAGAAATGATTTAACTTGGAACGCAATACCGAAAGCCGATAGTAGTATTAGGACGTTGAATTTTTTGGTTTGTGAAGCATTTGCATTACTTAGGTTTAACCATGTGATTATTTTTACAAGCCTTGATTTTTAAAACCATTCTATCGCCTTTTGATTAGGGTTTAAAAACTTGATCGAACAATTTATTTAATAATAATTGGCCCTTTTACCTCTTAAGCCTGCTCATGTAAAATATTTGGGCTCCTTACTTTGCCTATTTATATTCTATTAATAAAGGACAGAAGGATGAGTATTGCAACAATGTTAAAAGAAATAAATTAGTTTTTAGTTCAGAATTATGTTCAGTACATGACTGATATTTATTTATAAAATAAAAATGACAGTACCATCGCATCAGATCTATTAGAAAAAATTCAGTATAATTCGCAATATCACATTTATAATACAAAAAGTCAATCTGACTTTCATGTACGGCAAGCTATCACTAAAAATTTCCAAAATACAAATTAACTCCTACTAACTCAAAGTTCGTTTTTTAAAAAATACTTTTATTACTTAATACAACAATTATACTTTTAATTACAACTTAACAATATGGAATCTAGCAACTGACTGACTACTCTAAAAGAAAATAAAAACGTCTAACAATAAAAAAATGCAAAATAAGATAAAAATGAATATATCAGAACAAAGAGTTTTACAATGTCAGCATTCTTCCATAAGGGCCATGTATAGGAGTCGACATAATTCCTCCCCCCTGAGTTTCAACTTCTGAAGTTAGGATGAAGGAAGTTGAACAGCTGTCGGATCTATTGGAGACTGGGTCAATTTCTTATGTCTGCATATTTTGGGCATCAGTTTCTTGTATACGAAGAACATCACCAGGAATACAAGAGTCCCGTAAATTATTAAGGTCCAAAGACTGGGAACCATCAATACCTTCTCAAATGATAACTTGGGTTGGTTATGAGTAATTTGTGACTTTATGGCTTGTAGATCATCTAGTTCAATATTTTCTAAGTGAAAATTAAAATTGCTTGAAGTGGATTGGATTGTGCTATTATCCAAATCTAGGATTAACACTGGTTGGCCAAAAGTTGTTGATGATTTCTGGTTACTTATAGTCCCCATATGTGTGGTTAATTGACATCCCTTTGGAATTTCTACTAAATAAGTCCCAGTGGTGAAATATTTCGTTTCTTCGTTTGATGGACATTTAAGATATGCTGTGTCTTGATAAGGCACAGTGTATATCCAATGATTAGAGTTGGCTAATTGGTTTAATAGTGGCTTTGATAGGCGAATTGACGTTTTTTCACAGGTGGAAGTAATTTTCATTTCCAACAATTGTATTTCACAGGGGCCGTCTTCTTCAATTTCAAGCAGATCAATTCTCGGGCAGACAAATTGCCGAGGGATTATTTCTGTACATGGATTGCTCGTGAAAGCGAATTTGGATTTGTTTTTAACCAAAAATTTCTTTCTAGGTATTATGACCTTAAACTGACTCTTTTCCCAAATAGGTACCGCGAATAAATGATATAAATTAAAATTTTTAGATTGAACGACAGGGATTTTTAAAATAAATGTTATTTTATTATTAAAAATAAAACAGTCAATTTTTATTAATTTTTCGAATAACAACACATTATTTAAATTAATTTCCAGAGGAAGTTCATTTTTGTTTAAGTATTTTTCTAATAATTTTAATTGATTATATAAATCGATTGTTTTGATTATACTAGGGTGCATAACTTGAATTTTAGCAAAGGAAATTGAATTTTCTATATCCTGTAGAATAGAATTAGTGATTTCAAAAATATTTATTATTTGTACAATACTGTCTTTAATGTAATTAAAACGAGAAAGGGTGATTTCTTCATTCATTAAGGATTCTATTATTTTAATTCGAGAAGTTAATATATGCTCATTATTTGTTATCTGTTGAATCGTTTTATTAAATTTTTCAATTAATGCAAATGACACCGAATTTTGTTCCTTAATATTTGTAGCTAAATTAATTTGATTATTTTGCAGTTCTTTGATAAGAGTTTCAAATCGTTCCCCATCATTGGCATCTAAATTACCTGTAATTGATTTGAAAATTGATCCTAGACCATTAATTATACCTCGTTTTTTCCTATTTTGAGATGGCACGATCTCTATTAACTTATTCATCACTTTATTTTCTGTAAAATTTAATAACTTAAAATAGTTTAATAAATCGTTACTATAATTTGTATCTGTGCTTATCAACATTCTAATACTGTCACTTTGTTCTTTTAATTTATTTACTTCAATTATTATAGGATTTAAATCGTAATAGTGAATGAGAGAATGGGAATAAATTTCTATTTTAGCTGTTCCTATCTTAAAGGGTAATAATCCTGGGTTGTCAGATAGATTTTGAATTACTATTTTATCCTGGAGTCCGAGAGTTCCAGCAAATCTGAAAAATATAAATTATTTTTTAAATTTATACGGTTTTTTCCGTGGGCGTTTTAAGTTATCCATGCTAACTTTCTCGCGTTGTTCTGTAGATACTGTTTTATGTGTTAAATTTACAGTTTTTAATTTTACTGGTTTGGTGAATTTGTTTGCATGTTTTTGTCGAATGTGTTTCTTTATAAAAACGTGTTGTTTTGGTTTAAAGATTTCGGGGTCGTCCCGATTTTCATTAGTTTTATTAGCAACATTTTCTTTACGCTTTATTAAATTTTCGTTTAATTTGGAATACATGATTTTTGCTTTTTCTTTATGGTCATTTACATATTCATTTAAGAGTACATGATTAATATCTAAATCAAAGGGGTCATTGCTACTAATATGCCCGTTTATGATGTCAATAGGTTTTAGTTTAGTGGACGAGTGAATCGAATGGTTATATGCTAAAATGGCATATATCATTTTCTTTTTTGACGGTGTTTTGGAAAAACCTTTTGTATTTAAAATACGGATATGTTCTAAAATGGTTGAGTGAAATCTTTCTATTTGACCATTAGATTGGGGGTGATTCGGAGAAGTAAAATGTACTTTAATTTTATGCAAGTTTAATAGTTCTGTCAATAAAAAGTTTTTGAATTCGGTACCATTGTCTATTATTATTTGTGTTGGTACACCGTGGTGAGAAAAGAATTGAATAAGGTTATCTGCGACTTCTGTACCGGAAGCAGAGTTTATATGATATGCCTGAGCATATTTTGAAAAGCTATCTATAATAGTTAAAAATTTTGTTTGTTCCACAGTAAATGAATCAATATGAATTATTTCAAACGGCCTCGTAGCCGTGGGTGTAATATTTAATTTTGTTTTAATTGGATTGCGTTCATATTTACTTTGATGGCAAATAAGGCATTCATTAATAAAAGTTTGTACTGATTCTTTAATATGTGGCCAATAATATTTTTCTTTTATTCTTAAAAACGTTTCGTCTATTCCTCGATGGTTTGACTTCCCCTCGTGATAATTTCGAATTATTGTTTTAATTTCATCTTTATCGGTTACATCTAATAATTTTTTATTACATTTCTTTAGTTTGATTGAAGGCCATTTAAAATATTTTTGGAGAGTTACTGAGAATGGTTCATAAATTTCTGGGTTTTCGAAGTAAATATGATATGGAATGCCAGGAGCTATATAATTTTTTACAAGATTTATCACGTCCTGTTCAAAATTATTTTTTGACAGTTGTGCCATTAATCGTTTTTTTGGTTTCGAATAAAATAGTTAATTTTGGTTTTGCCGGTGAATGCAACACGGAACTTACTATAATTTGATTTTGACCTAAATTTAATGCACAATTTGAAATTGGAATTCCTACTACGGGATTTTGTTCAGCATTTGAGTGAATAGTATGGGAGTCATCGTCCTCAATGTCTAACCAGTCATCACTATTGTT